CAAACAACAACATAAAAATTAAAAAAAATAGAAATAAATAAATGAAACATTTATTAACAAAAATAAGAATAACATGTAATTCCCTCTAGAATCATTGAAAAAACATAATACACGTACAGAATCGATAGCCGATTAAGTATGAGTACAGTCCAAAAGAAATCATGCTCAAACATGTATGACGTCTACTTACACTTTGACTGACGTCTAAGGGACAGAAATGCTTAAATCAACCAACGTTCGTTTAAACTGCCAGCAAAAGTTAAAGAATATAAGTCTTAAATCAGAAACATAAAATAAAACTTTTATAATCCTGTCTTATAGGAAAAGGAGTGGAAAAAATATCCCGACCATTCACATCTATAAAGCCTTTCTAAAATAATTCTTTCAAGTCCCAGCTATTCTCAGACAGCCCGTTTTTTTTCTTCAAATAACTGTATGAAAGCAACCAGTAATTACATCCTTAAAGCGTTTAATTATGTCTTTTATTTTGCTTTCCAGTTTCCCAGCCTCGAACCATTATGGGTTAAAACGTGCTACTCAAGTAATCATTTTTGAATAGACCGTTGTGTGAATTCAGCCACACTTTTTAAAAATAAAATGGATGAATGTGTCACACCACTTAGGACAAGAAACTTGGATAATCTCGTTTTGACATTCGTTTATTCAACGTGAAACATTAATTTCTTACAGCCACGTTTCCACCAACTTTGAAAAGTGGGATATATATAAAAGACGTCGATCTGGATTCACGGAATTTTCTTTTTCGAATGAAGTCCTCGAATTGATATGCCTACAGGTTTAAAAAAACAACAACTCGAACTTAGAAAAGACTAGAAACAAAGGAAACACAAAGAAAACGTCATACTTCTAAAACTGTGGAACAATTTTTTGTCCATACCGTTGAAAGCCGTTACCTCAATGCGAAGAGTTCGTCTTTCAAGTAGAGGGAGAAGCGTGATGCTATATGGTTAAAGTGCGTGTGAGTGTGCGCATTGTTATTGAAATTGTAAAAAAAAAAAAAAAAAAAAAAAAAAAAAGTCGCGACCTACTTTTCAAAGTTTTCTTCACAACTAAAATGCTGACTTAAGGAGAATCGAGACTCTACTTCAAAGGTACACTTAAAGCCCCTGAATGGTCAAAGACGATCGAAAAACATCAGGTCTAACGACATTTTAAACAAAGCAGCGATATTCGATAAGCGAATATGCAAATGTAAAAAACACATTTTTTTGTTCTGGTTTAGTAATAGGGGCACTTCAAACATCAGTCTTCACTTACGTTTTGGAGAAGAGGATATTAAAGGATTGTGTCGAAACTGGTCTAACGTGAAATCGCAAATCTAACTAAGAACACTGTGCATTTCAAGTATGTTTTTTCAATGAAATAAAATAAGCAGCAATCGATCATGGAAAATTGAAGCATATTGACTGTTTTTACGGATTAATTAGGCAAAGCAAACAGGAAAATAAAAATGTATTTCTTTAAAAAAAAAAAAAAGAAAAAAATGTTTTCAGAAAACAAAATACAAACCGTCCGAGCAATGTTTGAGTAAGTTTTTTAGGAGCAAAAACTGTTCAACTCTTCCCACAGTAAAGTGCTCTGTCTTCGTCGTACTTTTTAATAGGCAAAGTGCGGGTTGCCGTTTAGTTTCTGGTACATCTCACATTCCTACAAGTGAGAGTTAGTTTTTAACGGTAAAGTTTTTTAGACTTTCTACCCTAAATGGCACGAAAAACAATAAGTTAAACTATTTCTGAATTAAGTCATATTTAGTATGATAAAGGACCAAAAAGAAAAATGGCCAGATCTAATTAGATTCTGGAAAATGAGACTGAATTAGATCTACTCAGGCCAGTTGAATACTTACGTAATTGATGAATCAAATCTGGAGCTATATGGTAATACCCAAAATGCAAGAAAACAAATAACGAACCCGCTCATGTTTTAATTTTTTAGAAGAGGGCAAAAAAAGGGTGGGGGTTTGG